CTGCCTGGCAAAGTTTCAGAATACAAATTAATGTACAAAAGTTTAGTAGTCTCTCTCTCTCTCTCTTTCTTTCTTTCTTCTTTTTTTTTTTTGAGACAGAGTTTTACTCTTGTTGCCCAGGCTGTAGTGCAATGGCATAATCCTGGCTCACCACAACCTCCAGCTCTGGGGTTCAAGCGATTCTCTTGCCTCAGCCTCCTGAGAAGCTGGGATTACAGGCATATGCCACCACGCCTGGCTAATTTTGTATTTTCAGTAGAGACAGGGTTTCACCATGTTGGTCAGGCTGGTCTCAAACTCCTGACCTAAGATGACCCACCTGCCTCGGCCTCCCAAAATGCTGGGATTACAGGCCTGAGCCACTGTGTCCAGCCATCAGTAGCATTTCTATACATCAATAATGTTCAAGCTGAGAGACAAATCAAGAACATAATCCCATATACAATATCCACCAAAAATTTAATATGTTTAGGACTACTTCTAACCAAAGAGAGGAAAGATCACTACAAAGAGAATTACAAAACACTGTTGAAAGAAATAATAAATGACACAAATGAAAAAATATTCCATGCTTGTGGATAGGAAGAATCAATATCATTAAAATGATTATACTGCTCGAAACAATCTACAGATTCAATACTATTCCTATTAAACTACAACATCATTTTTCACTACATGAGAAAAAAACTATTCTAAAATTCATATGGAACCAAAAAAGAACCCAAATAGCCAAAGCCATCCTATGCAAAAACACCAAAGCTGGAGGCATCACATTATCCAACTTCAAACTATACTATAAGGTGACAGTAACCAAAACAACATTGTACTGGTACAAAAACAGACATAGACCAATGGAACAGAATAGAGAACCCAGAAATAAAGCCCCATGCCCAAACCATCTGATCATGGACAAAGTCAACAAAAATAAGCAATGGGGAAAGGACTCTCTATCCATTAAATGATGCTGGGACAGCTAGCTTGCCATATGCAGACGAATAAAATTGCATCCCTACCTTTCATCATATACAAAAGTTAACTCAAGATGGATTAAAGATTTAGATGTAAGACCTCAAACTATACAAATCCTAGAAGAAAACCTAGGAAGTACCATTGTTTCTTTTTAAATTTTATTTATTTATTTAGAGATAGAGTTTTTGCTCTGTTGCCCAGGCTGCAGTGAGTGGTACGATCTCACTCACTGCAACCTCTGCCTCCCAGGTTCAAGTGATTCTCCTGCCTCGGTCTCCTGAGTAGCTGGGATAACAGGCGCCTGCCACCAAGCCCGGCTAATTTTTGGATTTTAAGTAGAGACGGGGTTTCATCATGTTGGCCAGGCTGGTCTCAAACTCCCACTGTTTCTTTATTTAAAATTTTGTGTCTTCTGGAAATACCATTCTGGACATCAACCTTGGCAAAGAATTTATAACTAAGTCCTCAAAAGCAATTGCAACACAAGCAAAAATTGACAAGTGAAACCTAATTAAAGAACTTCTGCACAGCCAAAGATGCTATCAACAGAGTAGACAGACAACCTACAGAATGTGAGAAAATATTCACAAACTATGCATCCAACAGTCTAATATCTAGAATCTAAAGGGAACTTAAAACAATCCAACAAGCAAATAAATAAATAAATAAACCCATTAAAAAGTGGGCCAAGGACATACATATACACTTCTCAAAAGTATCTCAAATAAGCAGCTGACAAACTCATGAAAAAATGGTCAACAAAATTAATCATCACAATGAGATACCATTTTACAACAGTTGGAATGGCTATTATCAAAAAGTCAGGAGGCCAGGTGCGGTGGCTCATGTCTGTAATCCCAGCACTTTGGGAGGCCGAGGCGTCACCTGAGGTCAGGAGTTCGAGACTATCCTGACCAACATGGTAAAACCCTGTCTTTACTAAAAGTACAAAAATTAGCCGGTGTGGCTGCACACAGTTGTAGTCCCAGCTACTTGGGAGGCCGAGGCAGGAGAATTGCTTGAACCCAGGTGGCAGAGGTTGCAGTGAGCCAAGATTTCTCCACTGCATTCCAGCCTGGGTCACAGAGTGAGACTCTGTCTCAAAATGATAACAATAAAAATTAAAAGTAAAAAATAACAGATGATAGCAAGGCTGCAGAGAAAAGGAATGCTTATCTACTGTTAATGGAAATGTAAATTAGTTCAGCCACTGTGGAAAGTAGTTTGAAGATTTCTTGCGGTGGTGGTGGTGGTGGTGGTTTGTTTTAGTTTTTGTTTCTGAGATGGAGTCTTGCTATGTCGTCCAGGCTGGAGTGCAGTGGCATGATCTTAGCTCACTGAAACTTCCACCTCCCCAGTTCAAGCAATTCTCCTGCCTCAGCCTCCTGAGTAGCTGGGACTACAGGCATGTGCCACCGTACCAAGCTAATTTTTGTATTTTTAGTAAAGACAGGGTTTCACCATGTTGGTCAGGCTGGTCTCAAACTCCTGACCTTGTGATCTGCCTGCCTTGGCCTCCTGAGTGCTGGGATTACAGGCGTGAGCCATCTCTCCTGGTCATGCCCAGCTATTTTTATTTTTTTGTAGAGACAGAGTCTTACTATATTGCCCACGCTGGTCTCAGACTCCTTGCCTCAAGCAATCTTCCCACCTCAGCCTCCCAAAGTGCTGGGATTACAGACATGAGCTACTTTATCTGGCCTAACTTTTAAAATATATTAAAATAATAATGAGCAACACTATTGTAACACTAAAAACTTTGTGAAGACTTAATGAAAATTTTGGTTATCATATAGATTTTTGAAGGTTCGTTCACAAAGGAACTGGATTAAAGTCTGATGAAGTAAGGTTCCCATCCTTCTCTACTTACTGGGTATGATGGGAGAATTGAAAGAAACTGAGGACAGTTGGGGCCTAGTGGCTCACTTCTGTAATCCTAACATTTTGGGAGGCTGTGGCGGGAGGATCATTTGAGGTCAGGAGTTCAAGACCAGCCTGGCCAACATGGCAAAACACCATCTCTACTAAAAATACAAAAATTAGCTGGGCGTGGTGGTGTGCATCTGTATTCCCAGCTACTTGGGAGGCTGAAGTATGAGAATTGCTTAAACCCGGGGAACAGAGATTGCAATGAGTCAAGATCATGCCACTGCACTCTAGCCTGGGCAACAGAGAGAGACTCTGTCTCAAAAAA